TTTGAGAGTATAGTTACGCTTAGGGAAGGTTATAGCACTCCATAGCGCTTATCCAAAAGATGGTACCAGTTAGATTTCAGATTATCCAAGCCTTGATCATATTTGTGATTTACCAGATAATTTAATATTGAAAAGAAATTTTAAATTTGTCCCAATAGTTTGATAGCAATTTAAGATAATTCTTTCACATCAAGAGTATTCATGGAGACTAAAGTCACACTTTGAAGAAGCTCCATTGTCGAATTTTTTAATTTATGTTATTTCAAAAAATTTAGTAAAGTCTCTCAATAGTTTGATAGAACTTACTTTGAAACAACCCTTCAATTGTTTGGAAGACAAATTTGTCTTTTTATTTAAACTGATTCATGGCATTTCCCAATAGTTTGGTGGATTCCATTTCAAAAATTAAATCATGAAAATTCCTCAATAGTTTGATAAAATTCATGAATTTATTTTGTAGGGATTTTTTATTTGAAAAAGATTTTCTACTTTTTTTTTTTTTTGAAAACTTATTTGAAAAGATTTTTTTTCTTTTTTTTTAACTTATTCGAAAAGATCTTTTTCTATATAACTATTTTTTTTTTAAGAAATAATTTTTAAAAATAATAAAATTTCTTAAAAATAAAACAAAAAAATAAAATAAATGAGCTAAAAAATAAAATCAAAAATAAAAAATAAAATGAAAAAAAAATCTTGCAATCGGGTCAAGTTAACGTGCGGAATCAGAGCGCAAGTCAGTGGGTCAGAGCATGGATCCAGGTTCTCAAAACACTGTCGTTTTGGGACATTATATAAGCCACTTTTTAGTACTTTGCTCAGAAGCCCCTTGCTCTCCCTCTCTCTAGGATAATAAGCTCTAACTTCGTCTAGAAATTCTTCAGAACATGTCAAAAACTTCAACCGAAAACTGGCAAAACCCATCGGCTTTTGAGAAAGTCACTGAAAAATTCAAATCAAAAATTGAAAAACCCCATTGGTTTTTTGAAAATTGGCCGAAATCTAGTTGAAAAAATTCAATCGATTGTTGAAAAATTTCATCGAAAATTCATATTTTTCTCAAAACCCCATATTTTTTTAGAAAATCCTAGAGATTTCCCAGATTCTCCCAGATTTGTCCAGATCTCATCAGAAATCCTCCAATAACTTAAACCATACCTCAAAAACCTAGAATTAAACTCAAAAACTTCCAAACAACCCAAAATAAAAAAAATCACAATCCTAGAACTTTTATTCTGCCCAGAACATGTTTCCTAGAACTGCAACACCCAAAATTTTTCAAATTTTCCACCGTGTCTCCCCAGCCCATTCCTTTTGTTCTTTTGTAGTGTTAGTTTGATTTATAAGCATCCTTAGAAAAAATTTAGGAAACAGATAGAATTAATCTAGGCTTGAATCCTGGGATTTGATTCTGTTTGAATCTCAATACATGTCTAGGTTCATTGCTGATTTCTTGGATTGATTGAAAAATCCCTTTGATTATGAATTAAAACCTTTTGACTGCATTGAATTTCTGAATTTCAGTTTCCTGGATTACCGGTCAAAGAGAAAGGAAAAGGAATAATAATAATAATAACAATAACATACTATATCATATAATATATTAATATACTATACTGTAATATAATATCAAATAATATAAATACACAAACTAAAACAAATCGACCCTAACTGACCTCGGACACATATGGATGTCTACAAAGAGTATGGCAGCTCAAGGAATTCAGCTTCAATTAAAAAAAAGGATAAAAATTAGAAACATATGGCAATTAATAATAGTCTAATCATGAAGAATTGATTTTAACTTATTAAAATCTTCAATACCTATAAAGTCTGGAAGAGTTCTTCCATTAGTGAACGTACCGGTCAAGTGTTCGCCAAAATTCAGGCCGTAAGGTGGGTAATTTGCCTTGGCAACAGTTGGAAGAAGATTGTTGTTGCCACTGTCAAACAATGAATCTCCGAACACATACAGAGCCGGTACAAGAGGCTTACTGTGAATTAGCAAGAAGATATGAAGGAAAGCAACTAAGAATACTTTCGACGAAATCAAGTTGCTCCTCATCTTTCCAAATGAAAATATTATTTGTGTAAGAAAAGGTTAGAAGAGTGGAACATCAAAGGCCAATTGAGCTTGAAAAGAGTGGAAAAAAAATTTTGATTATCAGTCGCAATGATGCATAGTTTTTTTCCCCTTAATGCATAGATTGTGGTTTAATCTTTTGACCTGAAATCAAATCAAGCCAGCCAGCATTTTCTTCTTCAGCGGAGAAAATATTTTTAATGACCAAGTATGCCAAGAATAGGACACAACTGAAATGAAAGTACAACCAACACCATACAGAATTTCATGAGTATCACATGAATTTTTTTATTTTTTATGAGATTTAATAATTAATTTGAAATTGTTTCATTCGAATTTTGTTTCTGTTTTCACTTCTATAATTATCTGCATCATTAATTATTGCATTCAAATGGAAAAAAAAAAAAAAAAGAAACCACAACAGAAACTTATTTTAAATTACTGACGAAATCAAATCGAATTATCAATCATATTTGACTCTTCATAATAATTAATTATTCATCAAGATATATCATTTCGTGTTCAAGGATGAGATTAAACCTCTTTCCAAGTAACAACAACTTGAGTATTTTAACTGATTCATTTTAAGCATTATAATACATATAATATCTAATTTGCATAGGCATCACTTAAGTAAAAAAAAAGCCTTGCATTAGTTGGCAAACGAGTTGGCCATGAACGTGCTGAAAATGAGATGAGAACCCTACTATCTTCCACGTAAAAATCTTGATTATCTCAAATAGTATTTAATAATTCCAAAAAATAATAGTAACAATTGTGTCACATCGCCACGAAAAGAAGTTAATAATGGTGCAACGGACTGCTTTTTTTTTTTTTAATAATTCAAATTTTGTTTATCATCCAGAGAATTCACAATTAACCATTAAAATCTAGCAACTATATCTTTTCCAAATTAAAATTGATAATCCTGTGATCGAATTATTGTATGCATCTTCACGTCTTAATTAACTAGCTGCTTTAAATTAAGAGGAAGCAAACAGTACTGTCATCGATGCAATGACGTGCTATAGCTGAATAGACAGTTTCAGGAAGATGCTAAGCATCCCAAAAGTAGTTTGGTTTGAGTTGGGGCATGAAGTAAGAAATGCTACGTCGCTTTCGTATATTTCTCTAACTATATTATTGTATTGTATTTAAAAATATCAAATTATTAATAAAAATTATCAAATTCAGATATATATATATCTGTATATATATATATATATATATATATATATATAATATGGATAGAGAACATAGAGATGAAGTTTTTAGATAAAATTTTTATTAAAAATGGTTAAATAAAAATTAAAATAAAAAATCAAAATAGATAAAATAAAAGTTCTTATTACATAAATCAAATTTATAAATTTTTTTAAAAAAATTAATATATTTTAATATTTTTTAAATAAGTATTTTTAGTGAAAATTTTGACATGATTTTTATTGTTAAATAAATATGGATCAAAACTATGAATGATATTTTTATTATTTTTTACATATTATTAATTTTTTATTAAATTTTATCAATCTATCATTTTGAATTTTTATTATAATTTTATTAAATTATTTTAAAAAAAATTTACCCTAGTGGATATGGTAATTGAACATATTTTTTCCTTTGCATGTGCCCCATTAAGAAGGGTAAATCATAAATGTTTCATTTTATTACTTTTGTTTTCACATAAATAATTATTGATGTCAACATGCATGTGATGTGATTCGATGAGATATTCTTACTAAATGTTGCATGATTTCTTTTCCAAATTAAAATTGATAATCCTGTGATCGAATTATTGTAAACTTGTATACGTCTTCAAATATTAATTAACTAGCTGCTTTAAATTAAGAGGAAAGCAAACTGTACTGTCATTGATGCAATGACTTGCTATTGCTGAATAGAGTGTTTCGTTAAGATGACAAGCATAAGGGTTGGAGTAAAAAATGGTACGTCGCTTTCATATATTTTTTTATTATATTATTATACTATATTTAAAATTATCAAATTATTATTAAAAATTATTTAATCTATATATATATATATATATATATCATGGATAGAAAAGACTTAGATAAAATTTTTAGATGCAATTTTTTATTAAAAATAATTAAATAAAAATCAGAATTAAAACTCAAAATCGATAAAATAAAAATTTTTGTCATATAGATCAAATAAATACATTTTAAAAAAATTAATAAATTATGATATATTTTTTAAATAAGTATTTTTAGTGAAAAATTTGACATTAATTTCATCATTAAATAAATATTAATCAAATTCAAATTATAAATAATATTTTCATTATTTTTTACATATTATTAATTTTTTATTGAATTTTATCAATTTATTGTTTTAAAATATTTATTATAATTTTATTAAATTATTTTTAATAAAAAATTCTACCAACTGTATTTAAAATATTTTATTTAAATATTACTCTCGTGGATATGGCAATTGTACATATTTTTCCCTTTGCATGTGCCGATTACAAAGAATAAAGTATAAATGTTTTCTTTTATTACTTTTGTTTTCACATAAATAATTATTGATGTTAACATTCTTGATAGTCAACAAAAAATTTATTTTGCTGCTATCTTTGGACGGTAAGTGATTGAAGTAAGTAAGAAAAATGTCTACGGCTAGCAATGGAAATCAAAAGTTCAAAGCAGTGTAGATATGTAGGGTGGCATGCACCTAGGTTTGTCAAAAGTCATTACTCATTATTCGGATTAATGTCAATTATAGGTCTACTGCCAGCGGAACATACTGCATCTTCCTTCAGTAGTGCATTTGTTGTGAGATCCATATATACTGCATCTTCCCTTCCCCTCTCCTTCTCTTCACTTCAAAATTCTTAAAATCTGTAGCGATTGTCCCGTCTTTCTTTCTCACACAACAGTTTGAAACTTTTAGCACCTCAATGGCTTTCATTTTTGCTAGTTGTCTTGGTTTGCTTAGTCTGTTTTTTCAGTGCTTCTATGTCATTCATATTTATTCTGAATCTTATTTACCACCTGATTTCAATAATAATCAAACTGCCTTCCTCCAATATCTAGCTTCCGAAAATTTGTCTCTTCGATTGCCAGCTCTATATGTTTTTGGGGACTCGTATATAGATGCTGGTAATAACAATTTTCTTGACACAATAGCCAAAGCCAATTTCTTACCATATGGTATTGATTTTGGAGGAGTGCCAACCGGTCGTGCCACCAACGGGAGAACCGTTGTGGATTTTATTGGTACAGGGATTGTAATTTTTTTGTATTCCATGCTGCTTGTTGCTTACTTTATATTGGCAAAAATATGATTTTTGGTTCATGTTGTATTTCTTGTAAGTTTGCTTTTCTCTGATTTCTGATATTCACTTTTAATGATGAAGCTCAAGTTGCTGGCCTGCCATTTCCACCCCCAATGCTCGGATTGTCTGAAACCGAGAGGAAAATCTTTGTTAGTGGTGTAAATTATGGCTCTGGTTCTAGCGGGATACTGCCTCTGCCTCCTCCTGCTGTGGAAATATTTGTGAGTTATCTTAGCCACAAAAATAAATTTGCAATTTTTCTTGCTTCAAGTTATTTTTCCTAATCACTATGTGAAATTTAGAGTACCAAAACTTAAACTTCTGAGTACAATTGACCTTTTGTATATAATACTACACCAGGGACATATTTTGAGCTTCGATGAACAAATAGAGTTGTTGAACGACACAACAAGAAGCTTGAAGGGTCATTTTGACAGCCCTGAAAGCTTTTCTCTCTACCTGTCTAAGTCATTGTTCTTTATCCACATAGGGACCAATGACTTAGGCATATATTGGGATCTTGAACAAAAGCGAAAGTTCCGAACTGCAGAAGATTATGCACTCTTCTTATCGGAGGAGTTGTCCGGTAGATTGGAGGTAAATGACTGTTTTAAATTTATCTTTACATAGTATTGAAATTGTATATTCAATTTTATACATTTTTAATGATCATGATGCAGGCAATATACCAACTGGGAGCAAGGAAATTCCTGGTTAACAATGTTTCTCCATTAGGCTGCCAACCTTTCAATCTGAACACAAAAATGCACAATACTTCCTGTGTTGAAGATGTTAACCAGAGAATAGCTTTCTACAATGGACTCCTTCCCAACTTGTTGACAAAGTTGGAAACATCCTTGAAGGGTTCCACATTTGTGCTGTGTGATCTATATAAAGTGTTTGAAGATGTTTACACTCAACCAGCAGCATATGGTGAGAATTGTTAGGAAAAGAATACCACACCAAAATTTTCTCTCTTATTTAATAAAATATTATGAAACATTTAGTTCATTTGTTCTTTGTTAATGCAGGGTTTACGAATGTCAATGGTTCTTGTTGCATTGACGAAGCGAGGAATGGAACTAGAGGATGCGCCAGAAATGTTGCTCCTTGCGCTGACAGAACGAGCCATGTCTTCTTTGACCCATTCCATCCGACCGAGAGTTTTCATTTCATTTGGATGAGGCGCTTTTTGAAGGACCACTCTGTCTGTTCTCCATTTACCTTGTTTGAGTTAATGCAACTTTAAGGATCTTCTCTAGGAGTACTGTTTATTTACTTTCAGTTAATTTCGAATGATTTAATTTTAAGAATGTAGTGAAACAATGTTGTTGGAAGTTGTGTTTTAAAGCTTATCAGATCACACTCTCATTACTCATTGTCTTTTAAGTGGTTCAAGTCATTTCACATTGTTGCAAATATGATGCTTTATTCCCTTTTTATGCTTAGCTTGATGCGAACAAATCATAGATACCATCAATCAGTTACTTTTGAAGCAGCCCCTGCTCAAAAACAGACCCAGCTGCTAATAAATATTCTAATTTGATTCTTAGTCTTCTCTTTGGCATAACTAGATTTTAGGCAATTTGCTAATTTTTTTTCAATAATTAAAATTCTTTTATCAGAAAAAAAAAAAAAAAGCAGGGAAAACTTGCTACAAAGAGCAATGGAGTTGTACCATGACAGGTTACAAAACCAAAAGAAAAAAGACAACTGTATCATCTGAACAAACCAATTAGCTATCTACTCTTCAATCTGAAAACCAAATGACTGGTTTGACAGTTTAAAGTCTTCATACCCCACTGAAATTCTTCACCCAATCCCCAGCCTGTCTTGTCAACAAGGAGACTTGCAACACTTTTTACGCTTTTTATGCTTTCTCGGACTGAACTTCTCAACAATGGATATTTAATAAAAATTAAGGTAAAGCAATTAATGTATACTGATCTGGTTCATGAATAACATAACTAAGCGGTCTTTTATGTTATTATCAATGGACAGCCAAGAAAGACAACATGCAATTCTTCTTATTGAATTAAGCATTTCTTTCTCTTTAAAGGCAAAAAGGAAAAAAAAAATTGAAGGGCCAAGTCTTACTATGAAATTTATTCTGTTATGTTGGCATTAAGAAACCATAAGACACATGGTCAGATTTAAGATTGTATTAGCTGAATCAAGTTGATGGGAGAAGAAACTGATGAATCCTTTAAGAGACGCCTTGCCCATATGAAATGCATACTCTCGCTTGGGTGCATTGGGTCGAAGAAAACATGGCTACTTCTGTCTTTGCATGGTGCTACATTTGCAAGACATGGTTTAGTTAAACCTTTATCTATTTCAGTACAACAACTGCTCCTTACATCGGTAAATCCTGCAGAAAAAAAAAAGAAAAATATATCTTTTAATCTCAAATGTTAAAGCAAAAGAATTACTAAGGTTTGATCCCAAACACCAAATTTGATGGAACATTTAATTACTTACAATTAAGTAAATCTATTTTCAATCACAATGTCAATTTGGGCCTAAATATTGAATAATACTCACCATACCAGGTAGGCGATGCATAGACATCTTGAAAAATTTTATATAGATCTCCAAGAACAAATTTTGATCCCGAAAGGGTGGATTGCAAGTCTTTTAATAAATTAGTCAGGCGTTTGTTAAATAACAATGCCCGGTTGTTGGCTAAGTAGTCGCATTCTGGTCCATTCCTACCTCCACTTATTAGATGCGGCTGACATCCTATTGGAGATGCATTATTCACCACAATTTTACGTGCACCAAGCTGATATAATCTCTATATATGTGTAAAAAACAAAAACAAAAAAACAAATTTGGTGTTAAATGGTTGCCACTAATTGCCAAATATAAAATGAAAAAGGAAAAAAAATCTATCCCTATAATTAGGTCAAAACAACAATCTAATTAATTTGAGATTACATCTGATAATTCATGTATCTGTGTTATATATGTTTCATATTAAGCACGTACAAAATATAAAAATTGTTGTGTTACAATTTCTGTGAATATTTTAAATATAAGATATATTTTTTAATTTGTTATCAAATTTATATATTTTTTAATTTTAAACTGTACTGCTTTTATATATTTTTCATATCGTTTACATATTATGTATAAAATTATCAAAAGATTTAGAATATTTTAACATTGGTTCTGACTAATTTACCTGTAAATGCTTGGATAAGTCTTTTATGAGAAGTTGAGTATAATAGTTCTCATCATAGAAATAGCGCAGTCCATCCCACTCGATATCCAAGTCATACGCAACACTATTGATAAAAAAAAGTGATTTTGACAAGTATCTAGAAAAACTTTCCTTGCTTTGAAATTGACTCTGCAACCCTTTTGTTGTGCTCTCGAACAAATCTACTTGCTCCTTCAAGCTTGGCATTCGTTCCTGATGAAATTACAAATTCTACTTAAGAAAAAAGAGTGTTTGATAATACAATATGTCCAAGAAAAAAAAAAAACAAACAAATAATATGAAAGAAAAATTATGCAAATTAGGGTGTCTTACAAACAGTTTTCCAAATTTTTCAAGGATGCCAGTGAAACCGCAAGCATAATTTATACCAGTTTGAGGAATTCTCTTATCTCCCTTAGACAAGCTTAGCACAGGAGGAGGGAATGGCAAGCCAACAATTTGAGCTGCATAATTATATTAATAAAAAATAAAGTAATCAATAATTTTTACACGAGAGTAAAAATTGAGGACAACACAAAAATCAATAACTTGTAATTCATTAATTTTTTATTTTCATACCAATGAAATCCGCTACTGTTCTTCCGTTGGTGTAACGACCCGTAGGTTTTCCACCAAAATCTATTCCATATGGAGTATAATTTCTTTCAATTTGCGGGACATGAACATAATTATTATTTCCCGCATCAACATAAGAGTCTCCAAATACGTATAAAGCTGGCACATCAAAGTTGATGTTCTCTAAGGATAAATATTTCAAAATAGATTTTTTACTTATTATAAATGGAGGTACTGTAACAACATCTGCAGAACCAAGTGAGAAGAATTGATATTGAAGCAAGAGGAAGAAAATGAAAATGCAATTGATTATTTTCATGATCTTTTCTTGACTAGGAAAAACAAAAGTTGGTATTGTACTATTGATTTATTTATGTACTTTAAATTAGTATTTATACTGAGCATTTGCCTTTTCGGTTTACAATGTTCAATGTCGACATTCCAAAATTAATAACTTTACGTTACTTGCTTTTAACAAGCTTTAAATGTTATAAGGTTCGTTTTTGAACAAATAATCATGATAATTACTCTTTTTTGCAAAATATATCAAGCCTTCCATTTCATAATATTTTATTATTAAAATATGAAAAATAATTATACAACAATATTTTTAATATTTTTTAAAATTAAAATTAATAAAAAAGATGAGAACAGAACAAAGAAATACCTTTCGTGCTATTGCTCGTTCTTACTATATATGCTGTGTTAGGTGGGGGCTTGCAGATGTTTCGAATTGCTGAAACAGGCAAACAACTTATTTTGCTCCATAAAATTATGGGGTACATTAACTCATTTCAGCCACCATAAATCTTAAGGTACATATAATTAATGAATCGCTAAAATTAAAACCAAGGATTCGATTCGATCCCTTCCAGATTTATAAGCACTTGCATTTACACTTGCCTGAACTCGCTGAAATTTCAAATTGACTATATAATTTCTTTGTTACGTAATGGCTATAACTTTAAAGCCTAGCAAGAGGAATGGTTAAAAATGCACACTTCCTTCTTTATACAAAAAGTCAGGATAAAAGATTAGCCCTTTTTTTTTTATTAGCAATAAAAACAAAAGTTGTTCTGACTACTTACAAGCAATGAGAAAGAGAAGTAAACTGTTAAACATTCAACTTAAAATCAATTGACATAAAGAGAAGCTAATTGATTTTAAGTTAAATGCTTAACACAAACGCTACAGATATTCATTAGCAAATAAGAAAAGGGACATAAGCATACACCATCAGGGAGATACGGCCATGGAAAGTAGAGAATCTATATCGAAATAGGCACCATAAATCTGGCATTCTAAAATACAGTAAGATGATAAGAATCGAACAAAATACAAAATAAAAAACATAAAAATAATATGTAATTTTCGTGTAAAATATTATAAGAATTTTAATATTTTACATAACACGAATATATGAATAGCAAAATATACTCAAAATGAATCAAAAAGGAAAAAACCCATTATTAAAATACTAAAATGCACTTAACCAAGGCATAAAACAGAGGAGAGTGCAGCGGTGAGGAGAGGAACTGAGAGAAAAAAAAAAGGAAAGTGGGAGTGTAGCGATGACTGCGGCTATGGAAGGATGACAAATTTCTTTTGCTTTAGGGTGCTTTGGGGCTATTAAGAGATCATGTAGCAAAGTTGAGAAAAGCGAAGAAAATTAGGGTTTGGGTGAAAAAGAAGACAAGCTTATGTGGCAAATTGTTTAAAATAACTTACATGGCTGCTTACGTGACCAATTTGGTACGTATTAAAATTTAGTAATCAATTTTGGATTTTGGTGATGGAAGGTGACTAGAGGTGAAATTTACTCTCAATTTTAAAAGCAAAATTTGTCGTAGTTCTCAGGTTTTTGGAGAGTGGAATCTAATAAGCTTTAGCCTTTAGGTGTCAAAACTTTGTATAATCGTCATCTTATTTTTATAGTAAAATTTTTCATCATCTTTATCCGTGGACATAGTTTTAAAGCCAAACCACAAATTATTGTTTGTTATTTTCACAAATTATTTTTTTTGTTGCGAGTTCAAATTCTTTTATGGTGAATTTGCTTGCTGTCATTTTGACTTGCTTGGATTAGTTACAACAAACTGATATCAGAGCTTGGTTCAAAGAAGTCAACGAATCTTGTACCAACTTGATTCATGGTAGAGTAGCAAATCAATATTACACAACTATAAAAGCTTGTATATGCCATAAATTTGTAAACTCACTGCTAGACATAATAAGGGAAGTAGTTACTGATATTTTTTATCTAGATGCGATTGGTCAGTTAATTGAATTCATCCCATTTTAAAGCGAAGTCTCAAGTTTGACTTAGGTATCTTTAAAAGATAGGTTCTAAATCACACAACTAGATTTAGGTCTAGGAATACGGTTACGTTCGAGGAAGGTCTTAATACCCTTACAACTCCAATCCAAAGGATGGTACCAATTTGATTTTATATTATCCAAGCCTTAAAATGTATTTGTAATTTTACCAAATAAATTTAATATTGAAACTTGATCTTAAAGTTATTATATTATTTGGTAGTAATTTAAGCTAATTTTCTCACCTTGAAAATATTTGTGGAGACTCGTATCCCACTTTAAAAGGACTCCGTCATCGAATTCATTAATATGTTTTTCAAGAAATTAATATTTGAAAACAATCAATAAAATCCTCTAATCATTTGGTAAGATTTTATTTTGATGCACATCTCCCAATAGTTTGGTCAGATTTTTATTTAAAAACTTTTCCATGAAATTTTTTTAAAAAGTCATTAAATATTTCAATAGTTTGGTAAGATTTAATTTCATATTTAAATTCTCCATTCGTTTAGTAGGATTAAAATTTTGCTTTTCTCAAAAATTCATATGAAATTCTCCAATCATTTGGTTTAATTCACAATTCAATATTTAATTCCTCCAATCATTTGATAGAATTAAAAAATAATTTAATTTTCACAAAAATTTATTTGAAATTCTCCAATAATTTGGTAGAATCCATAATTTAAAATTAAAATTCTCCAATCATTTAGTAGGAAAAAAAAACTATTTTTCAAAACTCATTATGAAAATTTTCAATCATTCAGTAGAATTCATAATTTAAAATTAAAATCCTCAAATTGTTTGGTAAGAAAAAAAACTATTTTTTAAAATTTTTTAAAATATCAATTAGAATAAATAAAATTTACACAAGTAAAATAAATAAAAATAAAAAACCTACCAATTAAAATCAATTAAAATAGGTGAAATTTAAACAAATAAAATAAAATAAAAAATTACAAAAAATGGGATGGCTCGACTCAACTTGGGAGGTGCGGTTCGGTTGCAAACACAAAAATGACTCAGGATGATACATCTTGGCTTAGTGCCTTGACAGCTCGTTCGGCTTGGATTCAGTGCTGAAATTGGGTTGTCAGTCAAGTTGGGCGCATGTCGAATCCAAAAATGGGAAATCACATAGATCCTAAATAGGTTTTAAGATTCAAAATGGCACTATTTAAGATTTGTATAAAATGCCCAAATCTCTATTTTTTTCCCTCAAAATTCTCTTTTATTTTCTCTCTCTTCCCATTATTTTCTCTATTCCTCCCTTTAAAAGGATGAACTTTGGTTGGATTGTTGCTGGTTTCTGAAAAAATGCATCGACACTTGGAATTTTAGTCATAATAGTTGTTGGAAAACTTGAAATTGCCGAAATCTAAAAGTTTTTCAGATTTTTTCAAAAAGAAAAAATTTCAAAAAAAATTTGATTCAGCTAAACCAATAGATACAAAAGATGAAAGCTGGAAGAAGTTAGCCAGAATGACGTTGGCTACAATAAAAAAAAATAGGTTGATATCAGCGTGTTTCATCATGTAGCATAAGAGACAGATGCCCACACTGTTTGAAAAAAATTGATAGCATTGTATGAGAAAAAAATAAGTATGAATAAAGTTATGCTTGTTAAAAAGTTTGCAACTTTACAGTACAAGGATGGACAATCGATTACAGAGCACTTAAGTGATTTTCAAGATATATTTAATTTGATAACTACTATAAAGCTTAAGATGTACAATAAAATGAAGGCGTTGTTTCTTTTAGGTTCATTGCCAAACAATTGAAATACTCTAGTTGTGATTATTTAATTTAGGTCTTGATTACAAAGTGATATTAGAGATAGTAAAAGACAATATGTTAATAAAGAAGTAAGGTAAAAAGATTCAAATCCTGAGAATCAAGCTTTGGTCACAGAGAACAGGGGTAGAAACATCAAAAGAGGTCAGAACTCAAAAGGTCATAGTAAATCTAAACATAGGTCTAAGTTTAAAGATAAAATGAAGTGCTTCCGTTGTGGTCAAGCAGGTCATATAAAATGATATTGCAAAATCTTGAAAAAAAAAAGAAAAGATGAGAAAGGCAAGAGTTCAGATGATAGCAATGTTGCAACAGTGAATTTAGATAGTGATTCAGTTACTTTGATTTGTACACATGGTGATTGTAATCATGTTGGTAATCCCGACATTGAGTGGATAGTTAACATAGGAATGGCATATCATTAGGTTCCTAAGAAGGAGCTGTTTATGACTTACAAAGCAAGAGACTTTGGTTGTACCAAAATAAAAAATAAAAGTGTGTCGCAGATTATTGGGATTAGTGATATTGTTATATAAACTAGTATGGACTGCATATTAATTTTGAGGGATGTTAGACATATTTCAGATATAAGAATAACTTGCTATTAATGTCCTTTATAAGGAAAGATATGAAAGTCGACAAAAGAATGGGCAATGAAAGTTTCTCAAAGGATCTGAAATTTATTTTCTTTTTTATTTTATTTTTTTTCATTGCTTATATTCATTTTAGTTATTCATTTGTTCACTATATATATCTGTTAATTATTTGCATATGCATAACATAAGCCCTCCACTCGGGCTCTACCTTTAGGAGGGAGTGAAGTACCTATACCCTTGTGAGATTTCATATCTCCGTATAGGCATGTGAAACATTCTCACTCAGATTGAACCATTTCCATTTGTAGCCTATGATGGTGAGGATTGGGGTGCCTTACTAGTTTGTGATGGACTGTGATGTAAAGAAATAATTTGAAAACCTTAGAAGTGATCCAAACCATATATAGGATAACTTTAAGAGCCTAACCATAAATAGAGCCTTATCTTCCAACCTTTAAAGTCAATCCAAAATTTAAGGCCATGTTTTATCTTGCTATATGATGTTTATTCTATGTTTTATTGAAAGTGACTAAATAATTTCTT